GAATATAGCCAAGACATGCATATCCATATACTCGATGTTTTTCACCAAACAATCTGAAACAGTCAAATCCTTGAAGCCCCTTCTCTCTCCCACCATCCAAAAAAAATGAGTTCCTTAATTTTAATTTATTTTTTTTCTTTAGAGAAAAAAAATGATAGGAAAATTAGCTTAAAGTTTTACCTTAAAAAGGCCCCCTTCTCCCATGTTTTATTTACAGGCCACTGTGGGCCAGAAAATACCTGCACACCACTGCTTCAACTAAATTCTGGGATATGTTAAAGCTAAAATTGCAGTAATACCCTGGAATATACCTTCCTTCACAGGGCCTTTTTCAGTCTCTTGTCAGTCAGATTTGTGACTACAGGTTTGAAACAGTGAGATTCCATTTTCAATGAGAGAAAACTTCAGAAAAATAAGAAACTTTAAGAGTTAGACCTTTTCAGATCTGCTTGCACCAGTGTGACAGATGCTTGTCTAAAATTGTATTACTTTATCTTCTACGGGCCAGTTAAGCTGGCAAAAGCCAAGAGAGAAAGGAAACATTTTTTCTATTTAAGGCACTGTCATCAGGCACCAGTGGCACCCTCGTTCTTAGGGAAAAAAGGAATCAAAGCTATAGGTCACCAAGCCTTATTCTTTTACTGACTAAATTTATAACACTAGAACTTGCTGCTCTGAGAACCACAACCTCCTTAGCCTATTTTTACACTTTGTTCCTCTTTAGATCCACCTCCTCAATGCAGATCTTGCTCCACAACCCATTCCCACCAGCTCCTGTTCGTGACAAGAGTTTCTGGTTCCTCACGGCTGGATCTTACGTACGTACACGGCTGATTCAAATGCAACGGGAAATAATTTCAGTGCAAAAACTAGATTAGTTTATTGCATGATGGGAAGGACAAAGCACAGTCCTCAGCAATTTTTATGCACGTTCTTCTAGATTTCTTCTCGCCATCCTCAAGTTGGCTTCACTACTGACACCCATTTTTTAAACTAGATAATATGTAAAATATTTCTGAATTCCTAAGCATGGAAATTTGATGATGTCTCCATGTGTTTGCTGAAGGTAATTTTCTCCTTTTTAGGATCTCTTCTACTAGTCATCACTTTTTACACCCCTGTAAAATTCCTCTATGTAATTTCCTACCTCTAACACCCATACTTTTTGATTCAAACTTTCATTTTGTTAAATAGAAGAATTACTCAGTAAAGCATATACAAATTGGGGAAGTAGTAAATCATTCTACAACTGTTTTCTTCCTTATATTTTCATTTCAACTCCTTGCTTTGTGATTTGATTATGGGTTTGGTTTTTTTTAATGAGTTTTTCAGACACACACAAACTCACTCAAATGGGCTGCAGTAAAATACCAGATTTAACAAATTATTTTGTATGAGAAATAGTGGAAAGCCTCAAACCAGAAGGTTAGAACATGTCATGGATGCTACCATGTTAACTGGTTGCAGTGTAGAAGAGTCCCATGGAAATACATAAGGAGAAAGGGGGAAATCCAATCAGAGGCTAAGCTCCCTGCCAGGGAAAGCCAGGCAACAGCAACTTGGGTCATCAGACTCTTTCC